CTTCGGTACTGGCGACCCATCTCTGTGTGAAAAACAAATGCCCACTATTGTAAAGCGCTTTGTGACTCTGGTCTGTGAAAGGCGCTATATGAACAGAACATTACTTACTTACTTAGTTATCTTTCCCGGTACACCCCCCACTGGCTCGGAGTGAGATTGCAAGCATGTCAGCTCATGGACCTTTTTGAGCAAGGACTCGCCCCCTCTGGTTCTAACCCACCACTAGTGTACATATCTTAAGCATCGGTGTTGATGACGTCTGTTCTTATGCACCTTCATAATCATGTAAAGAGCTTTGTCTTCTTCTGTTCTATCTGGAAGAAAATAAACCGGGACACAGGTGGGTGAGAGCGCTGCTGCCTCACTCTCATTTTTTGACAGTTTACTGTATCCTGCTGAGTGTTGCCATAGCCCATTGTTTTGAAGTGGGGATCGAACCACAAACCTCTGTAAGCGTCTGTGCTACTGCCACCAAACAATCTCAAAACCGTTTGACAAATCCGACAGCAGCACCGCGCGTCATTCACACACCTTTCATTAGCCAACCGCAAACGCATACAAATGAGCAGCGTAAACAAGCTCCAGTCAGCCTGCACCGCACTGATCTGATCATCGTTAATTATTCAAATGAATTCCTAATCACTGAAAAGGAGATGGATAGACAAACACTCATTTCCATAGATATTCTTTCCTCAACTTTCAGCCATTAACCAAGTGATGATTTGGGGCGTGCTGTTTATTTATTTACCCTGTGTCTCATTTCCAGTGTTGTAAGTGTCAAGCACACTCTTAATAGTTGTTTTCCCCTTACCTTTGATTTTTAATTAAAATTCATTTAAACATCTGGCTCACTCGAACGGGCCATCTGCATATTGACGCCATGCAAATTCAGAAATTGTTAGCCCCAACGTTCCTCGTGTGCACCTAAGACCGCGGCGAGTGTGCCATGTCGCAGCTCGCATTGCAACTAATTATGCACATAATTTTATGGCTGCTGCCGCTTGTTTATTGTGTGCTGTTTTCCAAATTGTGCGCAAGTCGATTTCCATCTCATTTCTTATTAATGTCGTTTCACCATTATTTAATCATATTGCTTACAGACACATGTTAAAAGGGGAGCCGCAAAAGCAATTAAAGATCCAATCTGGAGCGTGTTTGCAGATAACTTTATGCTTAGTGACACTGCCAGTGAGTTGAAAAAGAAGCAGCGAACGACTTTTATTACTGCTTTGGATTTATAATTACGAGATGGAGGTACAGCAGTAAATGACTAGTTGTCCGTTTAGCGACGAGCTGACAGGCGCGAAGGACGCACTGATGCCGGGGATATGAATCAGAGCGTCTCAGAGCTGGAATAATGAACTTCATGCTGCCTATTGTTGCGCTGTGGGCCGTATCAGTGATCATCAGTTGACCTCGAGAAACAGGGACATGGAGAACAGAGCCGGACCTTTTGTTTGTCTTGATGTAGTCCACAGATACACAAAAAGAAGAAAATGGAAGAAAAGATAAAACCTTGAGTTGCTTCTATGTTCTAAAAATACCAGCAAGACGCTCTTTGCACAAGAAAGGTCAGAAAGATTACACTTCATTATGTGTTGTGAATGTTATATCACGCGCCGTATTTACAGTCACGAGTAGAACATGAATAGAAAAACATTTTACAACTGGATATGAGAAAATGTGGTTTGGATTTGTTCATAACTTAAAGAAATTGACTGATTAAAAATAAGAAAAAAACAAGTAGGGAGATCATGGGTTAGGTAGATATGTGAAACACTGCACAGTTTCAGGCAAAAGCTTATCACAGAGAAAAGGACCGCTTGTTTATTTCTACTTCTATAATGCATCTCTGTTGTCTCTTCTGTCTGAAAGGGATAGAGGAGGATTTTCTACTTCCGGGTGGATCATCAAGACTATTGGTCTTCCCATTCTCGCCAAATAAGACCAGAGAGTTCTGTTCAAAAAGTGGATAAGGCAGTTCTCTCCAAAAATTTGTGGAAGTCCTCCTTTACTATATACCTTTAAGATAGTCTTAACATTACATTATCGTGGCATATAACCTACAGTATAATCAGTTATTGTCACTGTTGGGAAATCCTCTGCATTAGACCCATCTCCAATGACAACAGGTCATCTTGAGCAGTGGTCAACAGTCCACCATGTTACAGCCACTAAACTTCCAGGAAACTGTGTCTGTAAAGTGTTGTTCATTTGGAACAAAGAGGGTGGATTTCTCACCTCCGAGTTAAAGGTGTATGTCACAAAGTAACATCCTTTTCTCGTTAACACAAGACATTTTTCAATGTTTTCGCATTCCAAGTGAGACATTTCTTGTATCATTTCAAATCAAGATCATTTTGTGTGTCCCATTGTAAAATATTGAGTTAAGGCAGTCAAAATGTGCTCAAATTGTCTCAATTATTTTTCTCTGTTGTTGGCTGTAATTATGTCCCTTTGTCTAAAACGTCCCTGATAGTATTTCTTCTCACACTTAAATCCTAGAACAATCGATAGTGTGTGTCCCCCAGTCCTGGTACCTGCAGAAACACTTCCTTTTCCCCACTGCAGCAGATCCAGAGCGTTAAAAACAAAAACCCTGGTCTCGTCAGCAGTGGCGTGGGTGTGTGCTTACTGCTTCTTTTTACACATTCACATGAAGCACACATATCATTTTTGTCTTTAATTAAGGCGTGGTGCTCATCAGCAGTCACATCTCCCTCAGTGGTGGAGATGGTAACCCCGACGCTCTGTTTCTGTGTAAACAGCAGCGTGTACGTGGAGCAGGAGCAGGCCTGGGAGCCACAGTGATGAAGCCAATCATGCAGCGATAATCTCCATCCATTTTGGCAAACAGACGGACGCAGCCTCCTGCAGTCATGTTACAGCCTTATGGAGCTACATTGTCAGCTCGCATTTAATGAGCGCTTACTGATGTTTCTACTCGACTCGTGGCAAAGAAAATGATCACGATATATATATATGCAAATGAGCCGCCTTCAATGATGCTGCTTAAATAGAGTAACATATTGCGGGCTCCATACTGAGTCTTCAAAGCGTTGAGTAAATGTTGTTTTATTTGAGTTTGGGTCGTTTAGTTCTGCTGTATTTGTCGAAAAATGCTCTGCAAAAACGGACCACATTGTAATTTAATGTATGGAGAATAGGTTGTATGCTTGTTTTGGAATTTCAGTCGATTTGTCTGATGATAAAAATCCATTCTATGATTCTATTCTATGATGTGCGGCACCTGTAATACTGCTTTTAATGAATCCACTTTAATGATATAATTTTATGATACATAGCAATATAATAAATCAGCTCTTCATAATTATTCAGCTCTGATATAAAAGTTCTGGAGTTGTTTCTATCCTGGTCTTATCCATCTGTAAACTCTGGTCCATTTCCTACACGTACGTCTGGGTCTGGTCTTAGCGGGTGCGGTTTCCTCGGTTAAATCCCCTCCGACCAATCAGAGAGCGGGGGAGGCGGGGGTTGTAGGGAGGTGTCGGTGACGTCAAGAGTTTACGCCAAATTTGCTGGTTGTAGTTTGGCAATGTGATAGTAAAGTAATTTGTTCTGGTTCGGCTCCAAATATCCAGAAATGTAAGTAAAGTAAACTTACTTACTTTGATGACTATACATTGTCAATACTAGTTTTAGTCTCAATCAATGTCTGATTGATAAAAAAGTGATATTCTTTTGTTTTTCCCCAAAGTAATGGTAACTTTAAAATGTGCATATCTGTCGAAAATAGGAGACAGAGGCGGCGATCCCATGGACAAGTGCCTCGGTGGCTTTAATATCAGTTTTTTAGACCGAACAAAAACAGACAGGGCCTTTTATCTTCACAATTTACGTCAGAACAAAGACACCAATCCTTGAGACGTTAATGTTTTGTCCAAACAATATTGATATGAGCGAGTTCTCTGTGACCATAAAGCTTGAATCTGATTCTTTGAATATTTCTCATGTTTGTCCCGAGTCCACAACATGAACGGCAGATTTACAAGTCGCACTAGAGGGGCATTTTTTGGGGAAATGTATTTGATAAATCCAACACCAAAAATAGACATTTCATCTCAAAAGGCTTAAAAAATACATTTGCTAATACAAATAGAACACTGAAAAACACTGGGTGGTCAAATGATCTTCTCTTAATAGCTTGAACTTACTAGCCCAAGCTATTATTGGATAATTTACGATAAACAAAATAAAAATATAAAATTAATAATTTCACACATAAGTGTCATTCCCGGCCAAACTATGACAAAAACTGTGACTTCTAATCCGATATATACCATATATCTAATGCATAACACGGTATAACTAACCACAGACAGTCCGCTCGTGTGTCTGGACCATTGTAATGTAAATGACCAGCGCTCGGGTCAAATGAGTGATCAGTGATTGGCCGGTACTTAACCTCTGACGACTTTGCTCTCATTTATCAGGTCTGAACAGGTAATGAACTCGGACAGCCTTTAAACAGCGAGAGGTCCCGCTCCACAAGAAAAGGACTTTTGGAGTAATCCTCAGATACAATCACGGCCTCGCTCTCAAAGTCATTACTTCGCCTTCTGTTCTTTTTTTTACAGCCCGAGTGCTCATTTATTATATTTAGTCATACATTATGTCCTCCATTGACGAGAGACAGACAATGGATTTGCACATTGTATTAATAGCTTTCATTAAATTTAATAAAGCGCCTGTTTCGATCGTCGTGCTCGAAACAGTCGTGCTTTGTGAGGTAAACAATGAGCAGAGAGTAGATTCGTTACTTATTGTCCGTGCACTTCCATTTTACTGACTTATTCCCTTTTTAGAAATGCGGTGGGGAGCTCTCGACCTCTGCATGGCTGAGCTCCAATGCTTTTGATGGCATGGTGTCAAGTACACTCAACAATCTGAAGAAAGGGATAAAAAGCGCTCTGTACGGTCGTGAGAAGAGCTTGAGTAATGCAGCTATAGCTAGAGTGGTTACGGGTGTTTTTCTTTACCGGAGTTGGGGTCCACAGAGAAGTACGGTTGGCCTTCCAGAATGCTGTAGACCAGTTTGGCGCTGTTGCCGTAGCCCGAGTCGTCTGCGTCAGTGGCCGTCACCTGGGTAACCGGAGTTCCTGTGGAAAAAGGTGAATCACGTTTCAATAAAGAAGGTTTTCAGGAATCATTATTGTGTTTGAACAATGAAGAACATACATTATTATTTACATTTGAAACTGTTAATTGAGACTAAATACGCTTGCAGAATCATGTAACCAGAAGAGCAAAAGAGCAGAGAAGGAAAAACAGAAGTTGGAACAAGTGAGGCTTTAGTTTATGTTGAAATGTTAATGTTACTGCTGGATAATTTGATATCCATTCTAAGGTTTGAAAGGAGAAAAATGAAAAATGTGCCGGGGTTTGCGTGCACCTATTTTGACCTTGGCCGAATCTTAATCAGATTATTCAGACGGAAAAGTGAAAAAGAGAAGACCCTCTTGACTGTAGCTCACGGAGATCTTTCTACAAGTTGCTAATAAGATAAAGACAGAAGGATGTGGTTTGATTTGTCCACATTTTCTTTCTGTTGCCATGTGAACATCATGAACAAAGGTAAATGTCTTATCTTGTTTATAATGCCATTTCTCAGCCTGGATTTCATGTGAGAGTTTGGTTTAATGTCAAGGAACCATGCAATAGTCTGGTATTTTAACACAATTCACTTCATGAAAAATGTAAAATACATTATATATGTATAGGGTGAAAAACCGCATTTGACATTGCCTTAATATTAACATGTTCTGGGAATGTAACCATGGTAACAAATAGATGTTTTTTCATTTGTGGATGTCTGAACATGACACTTACAGTTTAATCTAACAGCACAAAGGAAACGTGAATGCAACTCCCTGCTCATGTATTTTTAAAATGTAATTTCAGTGGGAGAGTTAAACAGTTCCTTTCATTCAACACTGAATATTCATATATGATGCTTTCTGTGTGAAATGTAGAGGGTGCCTTTTTCCATCTGGAGACACATGGGCGCCTGAGGCGAGTACACGATTGTTGTGTTCAACTAAAAATATTGGTCAACTAAAGTCTCATCTTGTGCATCCGAGTCGACAAAACTATGAAAACTCCACAATTAGACGTTAGGAACAACAGGTTGCATTCAGATGATACTACACCTCTCTGAGGAGCAGTTAGCAGCCAACACTCTCCTAGTGACTGTGGCTAAAGTCAGACTTCTATTTTGAACACATTTCTATCATTCCTGGGCCAGACCACATGAAGCAGAAAGCGTCACATTTGCTTCGTCAGCACATATCAACTCTGGTGTAATTATTACAGAACTGACAAAATAAAACTTGTACATGTGGTTAGCCGCATCACACATGATCTGGGAAAAACTCTTCTTCGTGGCTGAGTGGATAGCACTCTCGCTTCTCAGCAAGAAGATTTTGGGTTCAAATCCCGGTCGGAACAGGCCTTTTGATAGTGAAATTTGCATGTTCTCCCAGTGTCTGCGAAGATTTCCCCTACCACTAAAAACATGTGCAATAGTTCAAGGTGAATGAGTGTGTGTTTGTGGGACAACGGATGCAAGTTCATTAACATCTACTGTCCCAACCAAATAAACAAAAACATGAAAAATAAATGAGACAATACGGTTACACTGAATGTGCTAAACACTTACTCTGCAACTGAAACAGAATTATTTAACATGACCACAAAAAAGTCCATTTGTTGTAAAACTACTGTAAAACTACCCTGGTCTTATCCATCCGTACTCTCCGCTCAATCATCATGTCCTGCAGGTAACGTCTGGGTCTGGTCCCTGTGTTTGCGATTACAATTGGTTGAATTCCATCCGACCAATCAGAGAGCGCGGGAGGCGGGTGTTGTAGTTAGCTGTGGGTGACGTCAAGAGTTTGCGATCGGGCAGGTTGTAGTTTGGCGAAGAATGCAATAATAAAGTAATCCGGTCTGGTTCAATCAAGAAATTGAAGCCGGAGCAAGAGGAATGTTTAGCAAATGTGATCGCTGGATAAATTGTGGCACTACTCCTCAGGGGCTCTGTTAGCGTCAAAGGAGATGGCTAAAGCTAGGCTAAATGCTAAAGGCTAACAACTCACTCGGGCTCATTTCGTACGTCACAGTAAACTCAGATCCAATTGTTTCAATCTGCAAAAGGAGTTAGCCCCTCCCACCTGTTAACGGAGTCAATGGAGCAGCTCCAGACCTTAGTACCAGAGGTAATTTGTACTATGGTGTGGTACAACCAGGCTACTGTAAAACAACTATACGGACAAAAAGAATAAAAGAAGCAGAGTCCATGTTCCTTCACAGTGACCTAGCCTCTGTCAGTGTGGGGGAGAGCGGTGGAGGTGGTGGAGGTGGTGGAGGTGGTGGAGGTGGAGGTTCTGACAGAGTAACACGCTGCAGATGGTATGCTAATTGTTCCAGTGAAAGATGTTTAGAGGTGTTCCGACAACAAAGGGAGATGTCCCTCGCCACAGACGCTACGGGTCCTGCCATAGGCCAAAAACAGTTCGCCCGCTGCACATCACACATCAAACACCTTGTAAAAAAAAGAAAGACAAAAGAAAAGAAAATAAACCCAGTGAATCTGATTTGGCAAGACTAGGGAACGAGTCATAAAAATGCAGAGCCAGATGTGAGGCTAAGTTTATAATGTCCCTCTGTATTCTGCAGACAAAAAACTGAAGCCATCCCCGACAGGCAATCTGACCAAAGTTCTGATACATTTATAAAAGAGAAGATTTATAGTCAGAGGAATATATCTGAAATGCCAAATATGTGGTTTTTCGAGGGTAAGAAGGAGGTCAGGGAGAAAATATTGATGCACCAATGTACTATTCTTTCATGTTGATTAAAATATGCCACTTCAGTCGATTATCAGTACCTCATGACTCTGCTGAATATTAAATGCAAATGTGTGATGTACAGTAGAAAAAAAGTCAAACCGGCTGGAACTGCTGGAGAAAAATGCAATGAGGTCCGATTGTACAGACCCTTTGTGGCTCAGAGAAAATATCCAACGTATATACTGTGGTATGACATGGGTGCATTTACTCTGCATGTTTTGACCTAAAACACACAACCTTCCGTGTCTTTCATATTCAGCCAATTGCTTCTGGCTTTACCTTCACCTTGTCGAGCCTCACCTTTGATATAAATGCACTCTACACCTTCCCACAGCATCAGGGCTCCATGTGGAACCCTCCTGAGTGCGACCAATCTGCTTCTGGAACTGCACCTCCAATATCAAAGTTTCGTGTTTGCAAAGAACTAAAGATACGAAAACATATCCCTTGATTTTTGGCAAAATCTCTTAATTTGAGTTGTGAACAAGAAAGAATCTTTTGTCTTGAAAGGCAAAAAATGTGTTATCTTCCCAAAAAAGACGTCATCCAAAACTGTCAAAATGTGTTGCAAGACTGAGGTCAAACATTTTGTTGGAAAAAAGAAAAAATAACTTCAGTCAAGCAACAAAAATACAAGATATCTGCTCATAACACAATTGTAATATTGGTTAGATAGATACGTTACTGATCTCTGCAGCTGAAACACCCCTAACCCCAAACAAACAGAACAAATAAACAGATAATTAAAAAAGTAGTTAACAATAGTAACAAAATGCAACACTTTAGTTCACAACAGCAGAGGTGGAGCAGCCGCTTGGTTCCGACCATTTTCTCTGCTCTGGTCCGGAGTAAAATGCTGAATGGTTTTTAGCATCTTTCAAAAAATGAGTATTCCTCCAGTGGATTTCTGCTCCATCTTCTTGGTTCTGTCTGTGAATCCTCTCTGCTCTGGTCTGGACCAGTGTTAAACTATGAACACTGTACAGTAGTAACAGTTACAGATATAAAAGAGCAAGAAAAATAACAATTGTAAAGCTCAAAACAACAACTACTTCAGAGCTACTTCGGACTTGCTGCCGTTTCCAGCGCATTAAGAAGAAATATGGCAATTACAATCAACAGAACGCTAAGTTTTAACAATCATACAGATATTGTGCAGCTTTAAAGAGGTCAATACGTTGAATATTATAAATTCAACCAGCAGTAAGTGATTGGTGTTTTCCTTTTTGTCCTCAGATAGCCCAGGCCTGCACACACACACACCATTCACCACAGTCATTAATCGCACACTGGCTTCATCTCTGCGTCCCCATCGCACAACATCGCCTGCGCACTACGGCACCACTAAAGCCCGGGCCTGTTGGATGTGGTTCCTACCCATGTTTGTAACAATTTGTTCCCGTAATCTGAGCCCCTCGTTATGTTGTTATCCGCGCACAGCACATGTCGATGCGTGATAAATAGTGGTGGCTCCATCACCAGCAAAAGGCCACATGCAAGTTCTAAAGTGGAGTCGCGTTCTCGCAGTTTGCAACCCAATTATTTCTCTGCGCGAGTCTCTCAAGTGGTCCGCAGAGACAGAGGTGTTCCAGTAATCTTGTGACGACACGCGCCTTGTAAATGTTCATATCACATGCTCTGTTTGTGTTCTACTTGGGCTATTGTAGATCAGAAGCCAATCAATAATTTCCCCTCTTTTGCGCTTGTGTTTCAGTGAAGGCGGTGAAGGCGTTACAAAAGCAACTGTATAATGTGAACAGGATGACAGCCGCTAAGAACGTCCTAAACATGAGCTCGTGTTACACAAAGCCATTAAATATGGAATTAACTGCACCTCTGTGTTTCAGTAGCCATTAGGAGGAAGTGCGCTGCTGCAGGATGAAGTGTGTCGTTGGATTAAGGCAAAGTGTGGTGTCCTGATAAGTGTGGGTTTATTGGTTTGTGCCATTTTGAGTGGTTTATGTACTACTGTTTGAATCCATTAACAACATTTCACAATAATACAATCAATATACAAGGTTTGGAAAGGGGGTTGGCTGAAGCAATTAAAATAGAAGGAATTAGATAAAAAGAATTGTAGTTAATGTTATAAGAATGATAGGTAAAACATTAAGCATTTCATTATTTATCAAAAGAGAGGTAGGTTGAAAACATCCAAGACCTGTGCAATCAGTGGAATCAGACCTCCACCGGGTCCAGGAGCCAGACCTCCACAATCACAGCCGACACTCCCAGTGGAGAAGGCTCCT